GTCGCTTTTTAATTATAAGCACTCTGCTCCAAAGAAACGTTGGAGCTCTAATCTGCAGTCCAGCAGTTCTGCTGCCCGCCTGCGTGCTGCGTCCCTCGGGACGATAACCGCTACCCTCGCACACGCAACCCACATTTGTAGTCCATTCATAATCCACATGTTTCCATCTGCTGCACAGAAGAACAGAGGGCAGGCTGAGAAGAATATATTGAGGCATACCTGTGGTATCATCTGTCTGGTGCAGATCTTCTGGCATTGATGTGTGGACTTTGTGAGCTAGAAGATAATTTGCGATGAAAAGGTTAGCGCGTGGACCTGCTGCTCATCGCTGCAAAGGCTTTCACCGGGCGGCTGCAAGGTATGGGTGAGGTTGAGCAACCCCTGGCTCTGCAGTGCTGTTGTATTTGGTTCCTGGACCTGTGCCGATTTTCTTTTAGTTAAACAACAGAGCAAGGTGTTACAGTAGATGCTCTAAGTATGGGATTTTTAAGCAAATATTGTGTCAAAGCATGGGGTCAAGCCTGAGCAGCAGGTCGTCAGCATGTTTGGGTGGATGCAAGTGACGCAGACTCCCAAAGGTCAGATTTCCTTGGAGCTGGGCTGGAGGTAATTACTGAGACTCAGTTTTATGATGTGCTCTGGGAGTTTTGCAGTTTTCGGTCATCATTTATATTCCAAATAAGGGCTTTGTCTTATTTTCACAAAGTCAATGACAAAACTGTTACTGTTCTCAACAGAACATATTCTGTCTCCAAATTCATATGTTACTGACTGAGAAATATTTATCTGCTCCTGGGAATCCTGCCCAGCAGTGGGGAATACTGCGGTGAGCTACAGGAACGAGATCTAACGTGCTCAGTCTGGGGCTGGAGGTAACACAGCCTGCTGATGGGTGACTTAATAGATGTGGCAGATGCATCATGAGCTGAAAAATAAGCGTTAATAGATCAGACCAAAATGGATATGCACTGCTATTTTTCCTCATACTGCCTGACCTTTTCCATCCATCTCCAGCTGCTGCTTGGAGGTACTGGGCAAGTTAGTACTGCTGTATTGATCCAGGCAGTTGGCCGTGCTGATGTGGCCATGATGCCAAGGTAGGTCCTTCCTAGGTAGCTAGGGTGTCGGAATAACACCGCTCTGTGCAGCTGTCGCACACACTTAGGTATTTGTCATCCATAAAGATGCATCTTTCTCCTTCACGTATTTTTCAAGGTTCACACCAACCAACCAGATGCCTTAAGACACTTCCATTCCTGCAGAGCTGTCAAAGGGCACGGGCAGCCATTGAGCATGCAGCATCAAGAAGGTGCCATGGGAACTGGGTGCCTGTCAGGTTTGGAAAAGGCTTCTTTAGGGTAACGCAAACTGTTCAGCTTGCAACTTTTTACATTTGCTGCTGCATTGGCAGAAAAACATGGGCAAGGAAGGCTAAGGAGGAATGTTTTCAGCATTTTTAAAGGTCCTTTGTCCCCAGAAGAGTTTCGATTAAAAACACTGACAAGATCAGCTCTTCCTGGGGTAGAACCCAAAGCTTCGGTTTAGGAAACAAACAGTCCTTTTATCTCCTAATTTCCAATGTGTCTCTGCTCTCTATGGACCTGAAATCTCCAGTTGACAACACAGACCAACAGATTCTCTCTTACAAATGCTATGTTTAAAATAGATGACCTTTCTTTATATAAGGATGCTAAACTATCTTACATTATCTCTTTTTTTTTCCAAAGAGATATTTTTATCTTCTTTGATTATTCTGTGATATTAGCAATGACTAAGAGCCAGGTTATCAGTAGAGCAGTTGTGTTTACCCGTACAAGAAGGGATTTACATTTTTAGTTGTTGTTTCCACTGCTGTGGTTAGTAGTGTCAGGGAACTCAGAACATTCATGAGGAAGCCAGTAGCTCATTTTTTGAGTTTGTAGTTGTAAAGAGGCGTGTACTCAGCAACCGACACTTTGTCCTGAAGTAATACATGTGTTTATTGGAAATGTGGTTTATTTTTATGTCTTCTTAGGCATCTTACTAGATGGGAGAAACTGTACTGAACAGTGCTTCATTTAATTTGAACTTTGTGTCTTGAAAGAACTTCTTCAACCAAACTGCTAAAAGTGGTTGATGAAGGGAGGTTTGCTTTCAAGCCAATTAGCAGTTTGAGAACCCTCAGTGGTCTGAAATGAGCCTCTCCTCTCGTTTAATGCGGATATGTCTGCAGAGAAAATTTGTGAATTAGCAAAATCAGTGAAAGCCCTGCCTACTCTCTCAACTAACTGTAACAAATTTCAAAGTGTTAAAATAATTACTTGCTAACTTCAAACACATTGGATTCAAATTAGAGGACAAAACATTCAGTGTAGAAAAGCACCTTCAGCAAAAAGAGCCACATAACCATAAGACCTCCTAATCAGTGAGTCTCAGTAAGGTTTTAATGGTCTGATTTATTTCTTAAAAAATCAGTTAACTTACACAATTACTTGTCAGTTTTAATGCCGGTCGTTTACAGGAGTGTGCAGGGAATTTACTTAGTTACCAGATGAGAATTAAACGTGCCTGGAGACTCCCCAGGGAAGGGGTTTGGAGAACTCGGTGCAAGTCCCACCTGAACTCTTTGCAGCGTGTTAACAGAGTTAAAGGATGCCCGTGTGCTCAAATTTTAAAGCCAGCCAGCCAGGGCTTTCAGCTTAGAAAGGGAAGGAAATAAAGACAGCACAGACTCCCTGAGATGTGCCAAAGCCAGTGGTGATTGACCGTCCTCATGCAAAGGTTATCTCTAGAGCCATCCTGTCCACCTTAACAACAAACTAATTTTACACTGGGAATGAAGACGACTTAGAAGGAAACCGGTAGCATGAGAAAGGCAGAGACAGAAAAGGCATTAGAATTTGAAATTAAAGCTACCTGCATCAACAGATATAATTAAAATGATTCATGGGAGAGGTTGTCCAGTAAATAAATTTCAACCACGTGGCTAAAAATAAAATATAAATAAATAAAAATAAAACTTCAACTGTACAGAAATATCCTAAAACATCACTTTTTTCCTGGATTTCTTGGGATGGCAAAAGTGCTGAGGGAGCAAGTGCAGAGCCTGGCAGGGGCAGTGCAGGAGCCGGGTGGTCCTTCTTGAACTGGAGCAGATTGCTGAGCTTGTTTCTGTCGTTTATATCGATTTGAATTTTAATGCATGCCAAGGGCACCTTCAGCTTTCAGAAAGACCCTGTTGTTTCCGAAGACCTGAAATTGATAACAGCAGTAAATAATTCCTTGGGAGCTCCTGGTGCTGCTGCTGCCCAGGCCCCTGCACTGGAGGCCAGTGTGGCAAGTCCTGTGCTCCAGCGCACGTTTAATGTAATACGTCCATTGATTTGTGCCAACATAGTAGTGAAGATAAGAGACAAGGAGCTATATACTACTCTCTTCCAATTATTGAACTGGAGCAACTGCCACAGAAGCAAATATATGGCACTGGACTCCTGCAAAAATAAATTACAGTAGTGAATGTTACTGACTGCAACAATTTGGAGACCTATAAGGCGGTTGAGAAACTTCTATTAATATCACTGCTATTGATGTGTGAAGTGTAACCTCTGTCCCTGGTTGCTGCCAGCTGGCCTGTGTGGTGGTGTGCTGCTGCAAGAGCAGGTCAGGGAGAGGCTACCCAGGATGGAGATTTGGGAGCTGTTGTCAGAGCATCTTGCACATCTTCCTTCTCCTCGCTCAGTACAGTCATCATAAAGACCCTCAAACTGTCCCGTTTTCCAAAGCAGGTCTGTGCGTGTGGACTGAGTAGCTCGAGCTGATTCGTGCAGTCTGTTTCTTAAAGCCTTCTCAGGTGGGAAGTGCCATCTGAGCGCTTCTGCGATGGTGCAAGTATTGTTTGCTAAGTTTCTTTCCTCCTAATTTCTCAATCCAGTTGTGCTGACCTTGATTGGCATTAAGGATGCAGACAGGCTTCTTCATTTTCTTTCAAATTAGTTAAATTGGGAAATAATTAAGGAGGAGAGGGCAGGAATTAATACAAGATTTTCAATGCAGGTCTGAAAGCAGCTGAAAGGGAGAAAGTGGATTGCTGCAAACGTGACACCGAGCAGGCAACCAAGTATTTTGCCAAAAGAAGTGATGCTAAGCTGGAGGGAAGGTTTTTCTGGAGCTTCCACAGGTTATGCCTCCACAAGGCACAAGCCATTCACATTTCAATGGGATTTACTGGGCAGGATCAGGTTTTGTGTTTTCACTGACTTAGAACAGAGCAGAGGAAAATGGAACAGGAGACAAAGCTAACTGGGGGGACAAGACAAGTCTCAAGTGCAGCCCTTGTGCAACAGGGGGGGACGGGCATCACCCCAGGAATTAAGGTGCCATCTCCACCTGACTCCTGCCATCCGAGGTGTCTGCTGCTACAGATAACGGCTCTTTTTTGACGAGGAGTACGTATGTGAGGAGGGGATGGGAACAAAAATAGGATTCTTTTTTTCTTTAACCTGCATGTGCAGCTGCAGAGAAGCCCCGCAGGCTGAGCTGTACTGTGGGCAGAGAGGTGGAGAGAACAGAGAGGAAGCTTGGCAGCGTGGTACCCATGCTGAAAAAGCCATCAGCCTTCTTGGAAAAAAAGCAGCAATGAAGCACCTGCTTCATTGCATCTGCTCGGCACAAGCTTTTACATTGTTAAGCAGCGAGCGTGGAGATTTTTAGATGTAGCCCGTGTGCCACATGTTGCAAAGGTCGTCATGGTGAGCGCTGAATATCAAAGTACAGACACATGTAAAACCTACACAAGCTGCTGGTGTGTAAATTAAAGTTGCCCTCAAGTAAAGACACAGAAAACTCATGTAAATGATGCATTCAGTATTTATGAATTGCGTCCTGAGACATTTCTGTCAGCTAAACTCCCTCTGTAACAGGCAATGGACTGTCTTGTACAAAACATCAATAATTAATACAGACTCTGAAAGAGTTTAATGCTAACTTAAAAAATATATAACTTGCGTCTGCTGTCTTTCCAGAATCACTGTTTTGGATGATGGGAGCCTGCGGATTGTCAATGTCACCAAATCTGATGCAGGAAGTTACACCTGCGTGGCCACAAACCACTTTGGGACAGCAAGCAGCACAGGCAGTCTGGTTGTGAAAGGTAACTGCAGTTTTTATCACATATGACTGATACTCCGTCTTTGCATCCAAAAGCATCCCAAGCAGCCCCATGCACGCTGTACCTTTCCTCTTTGATGCTGATGCAAGTGGGATTAAAGTGTCTTTTGCATCTCGGAAACCTGCAGAGCCGCATGGGTCGGAGATGATGTTAACAGCAAGAAGGTGTCTGTGGTCGCGCTGACTCATGGTGCTTACAGAAACTTAATGCCTTTGTTTTCACACGTAGTTTAAAATTCTACTGCAAATTATGTGGGAATTGTGATAGAAAGCCAGGGCCTTGGTCCATATCCTTGTATTACTTGTTCCTAGCAATGACCAGTAATCATGCTTCAGAAATATTTGCTGTCACTGCAGCCAGCTGTGTCCTAAGACTCAGTTTTGCAAAGGACATGCATAATG